CTCTCCAACTGTTGAATAAAATGACAATTCAGCTATGGCTACATCAAAACAGAAGCACAAGGCTGGGCGCATACCAAGTTCTGTAACTGACGAACAACAAACAGAGAAATGCAACCCTCTGAAGACGCCGAAAGCGACAGGAATCGAAGCGTGTAAACTGCAATTTCGAGAAAGAGAAATAGCAACAAAATTGATCCCAAAAGTTTGAACTACCATTAAATTTGTGAACCTTACATCTCATTGATTTTTTCATTTTCTTCTTTTTTGAAATCTCCCCCCTCCAGTCGAGTTGCGTTTTGAACTGAATTCGTGACAGGCAGGCTCGGCCGGACTGCGCGTTGCATTGTGTTATGGGCTCCGGGTAGAACTCGGAGGCGTGCGTGACCGCCGCGTTGCGTTGGAGCCATGATAGAGCTCGGCATTTCGAATCCGACTCTGGACGAGCTCGGAGGCGTGGCCGCCACGTGATCACGGCGATATTATGCCCCCACCCCGGCTGATTCGATCGCAGTCTTCCTCCACCTCCGCCTCCCTCCACATCGTACGCACGCACGCGCTCTAGTTGTAGATCCCACCGGCCAACTCCGGACGGCGATCATGGCGCTCGCATCCGGGTTCTGCCCGCCGCTGTCGTGCACCACGGGTGCGTTCCAGCGCGCCCCCTTCTTCCTGGGCTTCGGCTTCGGCAGCGAGTGCTGCGACCCGTCGTTTGCCGGCTACTACGACTACGAGGAGTACGCCCCATCGAGCCCTTCGCCGCTCACGAGCTCCAAGGACTACGCTCCGTCGAGCCCCCTGCAGTCGCCGGAGCCGGACTACACTCCCTCGAGCCCGGACTACACTCCGGCGAGCCCTGACTACACTCCAGCGAGCCCGGACTACACTCCGGCGAGCCCTTCGCTGTCGCTGGAGTACACTTCGTCGAGCCCTCTTCGGCTCGCTTTCATGATGCCGTCTCCTCTGCGCGGCGCATCCCCAGACTACACGCCCCTGACGCCGTCAGAGCACGCTGCTTCATCACCTTACTATACTCCGTTGAGTCCTCCCGGTCCTGGGCCAACTTCTTCGCCGGATTACACGCCCAGCACGCCGCATCCGTCCCCCCCGGCGGTGTCTGACGCCGAGTCGTGCGCGTCGCCGTATTACACACCGTCAACTCCTTCCAGGAGCGCCGAGTCGCCGGACTACACGCCCAGCACGCCGCCTCCATCGCCCCTGGCGTCAGAAGCAGACTCGACCATGTCTACAGCGCGCTGCCGCCACCATCCGTACCAGAGGAGCGTCACCAGCCGGATCAACCGCGGCGGACGGCAGCGAGCCTTGGGATATTGACATCTCGTAAATTGTAATAGGAGCAACAGATTGGATTCTCTGTGTAAATCTCGAATTGCTATGACTTTGTTTATTCCTTGGGCAAATCTTGTATTTCTCATAAATCGATGAATGTTATCGGAATCGAGCTTTTGCTGAAGATGTGAGTTTGTTATCTGTTATTGCCTCTCATTTTTTTTATTTTGAGCTGGATCTCTTTGTTTCTCATCGATGCAAATTGCAACTGCCTATTGGATTTGATGAAAATCACCCAGACACCCAGTATTTGTCATGTTCTGTGACTTGATGTACAGATGTCTGAGAGAAGCATATGGTTCCTCTGTAAAACTGATGCTTGCCGTCTAAATATTTTGATGAAGAAAACAGAGCATGTCGGCTTTGATATGTTGGGTTTTTTTAGTATGCCATGTGGTACAGAGCATGTCGGCTGGAAGCAGTATGCTTTTTGATTTTTAGAAACTGGAAGCAGTCTGCTGCAGTAGGAGGAAGGAACTTGGGTGACCCAACTACGGTAGTTTTCATGCCTATATGATTCTGGCGGGTTTAGTGGGTGAGGGAGTCCTGGATTAGGGGGTGTCCGGATGGCCGGACTAAGACCTTTGGCCGGACTTCTGGACTATGAAGATACAAGACTGAAGACTCCGTCCCGTGTCCGGATGGGACTTTCCTTGGCGTGGAAGGCAAGCTTGCCGATATGATATGAACATCTCCTCTCATTGTAACCGACTCTGTGTAACACTAGCCCTCTCCGGTGTCTATATAAACCGGAGAATTTTAATCCGTAGGACGAACAACAATCATACCATAGGCTAGCTTCTAGGGTTTAGCCACTCTGATCTCGTGGTAGATCTACTCTTGTACTACCCATATCATCAATATTAATCAAGCAGGAGTAGGGTTTTACCTCCATCGAGAGGGCCCAAACCTGGGTAAAAACATCGTGTCCCTTATCTCCTGTTACCATCCGCCTAGACGCACAGTTCGGGACCCCCTACTCGAGATCCGCCGGTTTTGACACCGATATTGGTGCTTTCATTGAGAGTTCCTCTGTGTCGTCGCCTGTAGGCCCGATGACTTCTTCGCTCGTCAATCACGATGTGGTCCGGGATGAGATCTTTCTCCCCGGACAGATCTTCGTATCCGGCGGCTTCGTACTGCGGGCCGACTCGTTCGGCCATCTGGAGCAGATCGAAAGCTACGCCCCTGGCCATCAGGTCAGGTTTGAAAGCTTAAATTAACACGGCCGACATCCGCGGGGACTTGATCTTCGACGGATTCGGGCCACGACCGGGCGCGCCGCACTGTCTCGATGGGCATGATCTAGCTCTGCCGCCGGACAGCGACCAGAGCGCCGCTCAGGTGTTCACTCCGACCATTAGTTCGGAGCCGACTGCGCTAGCCAGGGACGGACGGTTGGACGCCGCCCCAGGAGCCGCAATCTCTGCGGCGATAGAGCCGAATACCAGCCAAGTCCTTTGCAAGGCCGGTAACTCCAAGGTGCCGGACTCCGTTCCGGACTCTGAATATTCTGCACCCCTTTCGATCGAACCCGATCGGGCTCCGGTCACGGAGTTCACCGCCGCGGACGTCTTTCAGCACTCGCCCTTTGGCGATATCCTAAATTCACTAAAGTTCCTCTCTTTGTCGAAAGAACCCCGGCCGGACTACGGTCGGGGTGGTTGGGATGCGGACGACGAAGTTCGAAACCCACCCACCACCCACTTGATAGCCACTGTCGAAGATATAACCGACATGCTAGATTTTGACTCCGGAGATATCAACGGTATGGACGCCGATAAAGGAGACGATCAAGAACTAGCACCTATAGGGCTCCGGAAAACCACCTCATGATACGATGTATGCATGGTGGACACATACAACAGAAACGACAACGAGGACCAAAAGGATGCGACCAGGGATCGCTCCCCCGAAAAACAATCAAAGCGGTGGCGTAAGCGCAAGGCCAAGCCTCACCTCGACAAAGACCCAGCCATAGAGCAGGGTGACTCAACGGACGATGAACATGCCGTCGAGCATCCGTTCAAGCAGGGCGGACAATCTGCACAACCAATCCCCGGGAAAGATAATAGCCCGGACGACCTCACACCAAACAAATTGCTGGAACATCAGAACCTCCACCAAAGGCTCGTCGCCACTGCACGTAGCCTGAGAAAGCAGAAGCGGAGGCTCAAGACAGCGGAAGATGCACTCAGGATCAGATGGGGCAAAGTACTCAATACCGCACACAAGTACGGCAGTAGTCGCCACACAAAGAGCTATCCGAAGCGGAAACTACTACCGGAATTTGACGAAGAGGCCATAAAGCCCCCACAGTCAAAAAATAAGGAAGCCACAAGGTCGGATAGACGACCCTACGATCAATCTCACGCACCAAAGGACGCCGCACTCAATATGGCGCGCGATCCGTCCAAGAATTCGCATCAGAAAACTGGCCCAACTAGATCCATCTATAGGCCAAGAAAGCAAGCTCCAATGAGTGATGCAACGCAAAAAATACCCGAACATCGCGGCACGCCTAAATACAGGGGCGCCGCACACCCCCTATGTTTTACCGATGAGGTGCTGGATCATGAATTCCCAGCCAGATTCAAGCCAGTGAACATAGAATCATACGACGGAACAACAGACCCTGGAGTCTGGATCGAGGACTACATCCTCCACATACACATGGCCAGAGGAGACGGCCTCCACGCCATAAAATACTTACCCCTTAAGCTCAAAGGGCCAGCCCGGCATTGGCTTAAAAGCCTTCCCGAAAAGACCATGGGAAGTTGGGAAGTGCTTGAGGATGCTTTCCGGGCAAATTTTCAAGGGACCTATGTCCGGCCCCCGGATGCAGATGATCTGAGTCATATAACTCAGCAACCCGGAGAGTCAGCCCGGAAGCTCTGGAACAGATTCCTCATCAAAAAGAATCAGATAGTCGACTGTCCGGACGCAGAGGCCCTAGCAGCTTTCAAACATAGCGTCTGAGATGAATGGCTCGCCAGACACCTCGGCCAAGAAAAGCCGCGAACAATGGCCGCGTTAACAAGCCTCATGACCCGCTTCTGTGCAGGAGAGGATAGCTGGTTGGCAAGAAGCAGCACCAGCGACCCGAATACGTCCGAACCCAGAGATGGGAACGGGAAGCCGCGCCGTAACAAAGAACCGCACCGGATAAAGGACAATAGCCCGATGAGCACGGCAGTAAACGCCGGATTCAAAAGCTCTCGGCAAAATCAGAAAAAGCTGCCCCCCAAAGACGATAGGGACGAGCTATCCAACCTCAACAAAATTCTGGACAAAATATGTCAAATCCACAGCACTCCGGGGAGACCTGCAAACCATACCCATAGAGATTATTGGGTCTTCAAGCAGTCCGGCAAGCTCAACGCCGAACACAAGGGGCTCAACACACCAAGCGAAGATGACGATGCACCCCACGAGCAGAACACCAGAGAACAAAAGAAGTTCCCACAAGAAGTCAAGACAGTAAATCTACTTCATGTGACGAAAGGGAAGAGCAGAACGGCACCTACAACGACACGCGCCGTACAGCCAGCCCCGGAGGAGCAACCCCACTGGTTGTTACAACCAATCACCTTTGATCATCAGGATTACTCTAGAGGAGACCAGAACGCGGGCTGGACTGCCTTGGTCTTAAATCCAATCATTAACGGACTCCAATTTACAAACGCCCTTATGGACGGCGGCAGCGACTTGAACTTGTTATATCAGGACACAGTCCGCAAACTCGGGGTAAACCCAGCCATAATCCACCTCGGCAACACCTCCTTTCAAGGAGTAACGCCAGGTTTGGAGACCCCAAGTATGGGTTCCATTACGTTAGAAGTCACGTTCGGATCACCCGACAACTTCCGAAGCGAAAAGCTAACATTCCACATCGCCCCATTCATTAGTCGCTATCAAGCGCTACTGGGACGTACAGTTTTCGCCCACTTTAACGCAATACCGCACTACGCATCCCTTACACTTAAAATGCCCGGTCCAAAGGGCATCATTTCATTACAAGGGAACATAAATTGACCCCCAAAGTACGGGCAGGGGTGTGGCTGCCTAGACAGCCGCCCACAAATCCAGCCCTACTATCCCGGGCACGGCTCGAGGAGTCTGGCGTCAACATGCTTAAATAGCCGCATACCCTCGTGCAAGGGGCTCCGTGTGCTCACGCCCGGAGACAATACGGCCCAACTCTTACTCCAACTATATTTTGTTTATTTCGATATAGATTTCTCGCACGCTTATTTTTTACCAAGTTCCTCTCTTTCGCAGACAAACATCGTGCTACGCCCGTCCAGGATACGGCACAATGGAGACACAAGCGCAAACGTGCAGCAGGGAGCCGTTCCAAGGATTCTTTTCGGATTAAGACCCTGCGTAAACCTTTTTTACTATCTCTTGTTGATAACATCCCCCGGTTTTTTCTATAGCCGAGGAGGAGGCTGGCGTCTTGGCATGTGGCCACGCCAGAATTTTTGCACATACCTGGACACTAGGGGATTTTTTTTACTAAGGGCTCTATTTCGGCCGGTCTTCATAAAGACCGAATACCTTAGGGAGTGTTCGGCGTCGCGAGTTTGGTCCTATATGCATCAGCTCCGAATCATGTCTTTGGTCAAATGTTGGGTTTGCCCGGCTCCTATGTTTTGCTGCCTTACATTCCATTATATCGGCTAACGCGGCACCAGGAGAACTACTGCGATTGTGCCCCAGTTCGGCCGGGTGAGCACCTCAATAGAGAAAGCCGAAAACTGACTGTCATGATATAGCGAGAGACTGGTCAACCACTCGATGACTTTCAGAATCTTTAGGATTCCCCCGCATTAACGAAGGGCCACTTCCCGGTCAGGCACACTCGCGCCCCGAATTCGGGAGAGCGTGGTGCCCCTAGGGGCTATTCAGTAGTCCCACTGTCAAACTCCTATGGCTAAGTGAAAGTGATAAAGCATTATAGTCCGGTTGCCTAGTTCGCCGCG